CACATTTTCAGCAGGGGCAAGAACACGACGAGGAGGAGGACGAGCAAGACCAGGAGGACGAGGACGAGCAGGAGCAGGACGAGGAGCAGGAGGAGCAGGAGAAGAAGGACGAGCAGGAGGAGGAGGAGGACGAGCAGGAGGAGGAGGACGACCAGGAGGAGGAGGACGACCAGGAAGAGGAGGAGGAGGAGGAGGGGAGGGGGAGGAGTACCAGGAGGAGGAGGAGGAGGAGGAGGAGGAGGAGGAGGAGGAGGAGGAAGAGGAGGAGGAGGAGGAGGAGGACGAGGACGAGGAGGAGGAGGAGGAGGGGGGGGGAGAGTACCAGGAAGGAGGAGGAGGAGGAGGAGGAGGAGGAGGAGGAGGAGGAGGAGGAGAGAACACCAGGAGGAGGAGGACGAGCAAGACGAGGAGGACGAGAACGAGGACGACCAGGAAGAGGAGGAGGAGGAGGAGGAGGGGAGGGGGAGGACTACCAGGAGGAGGAGGAGGAGGAGGAGGAGGAAGAGGAGGAGGAGGACGAGGAGGAGGAGGAGGAGGAGGACGAGGAGGAGGAGGGGGGGGGAGAGCACCAGGAGGAGGAGAACGAGGACCACCAGGAGGAGGAGGAGGAGGAGGAGGAGGAGGAGGAGGAGGAGGAGAGAGCACCAGGAGGAGGAGGACGAGCAAGACGAGGAGGACGAGAACGAGGACGAGCAGGAGGAAGAGGAGGAGGAGGAGGAGGAGGAGGAGGAGGAGGAGCAGGAGGAGCAGGAGAAAGAGGAGGAGGAGGAGGAGGCAGGCTGAGGCTCAGGCTGTGACTGCGACTGCCGTTGCCGCTGCGACTGTCATCGCGAATGCGACTACGACTGCGAGAACAGCAGAATTCGACAACTGGATTTTCATCTGAATCTTAAGGGGAATGCTTTCAGATATGCTTCTACACATCGCTGTTAGGTTGCTTTGCCGGGATAATCTCTGGATGGGACTGCACCTTCCCGGGACCCCGGCGGGGAGGTCTTTTGGGAAAATTATTCACTGCGTGGAGCTTCCCATATGTGCATCTATTCGCATGGACCTGTCCGCCGTGAATGTCTAGGCGCAAGAGCTTTCGAATATAAACAGGCTTCAGTTGTGGCGGTCTGGTCATGAACCTAACTGCGAATGAATTGGAGTGTGAATGAGCCTCAGTAGTACGAGCGCGTCTCTGCGCATGAGCCTGGGGCCTCCTGGGGCCTCCTGAAACCTACTGGGGCTTCCTGGGGCCTCCAGGAGCCTCTTGGGGCCTCCTGGGGCCTCCTGGGACCTCCCAGGGAGGCTTCCTGCCCCAGGAGATGCCCAATCTATAGCAACCGACGTACATAAAACATTGCGAATTGGAGCCACAGGAGAAGGGCAATCTATAGGAACACACGTAAAGCACCAAGGACTCGTGCCCCAGGAGAGGCCCAACATATAGGAACATAAGTAAAACACATTAGTATGGTGTTCACAGGAGAAGAGACAATCTATAGAAGCATACGTATAACGTCAAGGATTCGTGCTCCAGGTGAGGCCCAATCGATAGGAGCATACGCAAAACACATGGGATTGGAGCCACTCCTGTTGCCTTCTGAGGCCTCCTGCTCCTGGGGCCTCTCGGGGCCTCCTGTTGCCTTCCGAAGTCTCCTGGCGCTTCCTGTGGCCTCTGGGGCCTCCTGTGGCTCCCTGAGGCCTCCTGGAGCTTCCTGGGGCCTCCTGGAGCCTCTTGGGACATCTTGTGGCCTCTTGAGTCTTTCTGTGGCCTCCTGATGCCTCCTGGGACCTCATGTGGTCCCAGGGGCCTCCTGGAGCTTGTTGGAGCATCCTGTGGCATCCTGAGGAGAACCTGTGCCCACGAGTCTGGCCACCAAAAGTGGCAAACCGAACGAGACATCCTCAAAATCTGGCCCACCTGGGGGGTGAACATGAGCGCCTCGCTCGAGACATCCTCCAAATCTGCTCCGAAAGCGAAGGATGTTGGGACAGGAAACGGGCAAACCGCTTGAGACATCCCCACACAACGGACGCGAACGGGACCGTGTCATACCCTTCGGTGGCCCCGTCAGGGGCGTGAACATGAGCGCCTCGCTCGAGACATCCTCCAAATCTGCTTAGAAAGCGAAGGATGTTGGGACATCAAACATGCAAACCGCTTGAGACATCCCCACAAAACGGCCGCGAACGGGACCGTGTCATACCCCTCGGCGACCCCCCTTAGGGGCGTGAAACTGAGCGCCTCGCTCGAGACATCCTCCGAACCTGCTCCGAAAGCGAAGGATGTTGGGACAGAAAACAGGCAAACCGCTTGAGGCATCCCCACAGTGTCATACCCCTCGGCGGCTCCCCTTAGGGGCGCGAAAATGAGCGCCTCGCTCGAGACATCCTCCAAATCTGCTCCGAAAGCGAAGGATGCTGGGACAGACAATAAGTCTGGGTATGAGTAAGCCGTATTATGAGAATCTGCTGTGTGTTGAGTAAGTCAGACAATCATAAGGTCGAGTATGAGTAGGTCTGAGTTTGAGTAGGTCTGAGTATGAGTAGGTCTGAGTATGAGTATGTCTGAGTACGAGTAGGTCTGATTATGAGTAGGCCTGAGTATGAGTAAGTCTGTGTATGAGTAAGTCTGTGTATGAGTAAGTCTGGGTATGAGGAGGAGGAGGAGAAGAAGAAGAGGAAGAGGAAGAAGGAGTAGGAGGCGTCCAAGTAATAACAATAACCCCATCTTAGGATATGGGGAAGAACCAAGACCAACACCGAGAGGATCCAGCACGCCAGGCACCCCTGCGATCAATCGACAGGGGGCGGCGGATCGAAGACGCCTACGGCGAATCACCGCCGCCCCCTGCCCCTTTGGAAGCGCTTCTGTGGCCGACAGCTGGGCCAGAGCTTGGCCAAGCTATCGGGCCAGTTGTTCCCCGAGTCGGTTTGGAAAGACTTCGGGGAACGCATGAGGGAGCAAGAGGAGGAGGGGGAGGATGAAGAGAAAAGAGGAGAAGGAGGAGGAGGAGGAGGAGGCCTGTTGGGCGCCTCTTCGGGCACTCTTGGGGCCTCCTGGGAGCTTCCTGGGGGCCTCTTGGAGGGTTTTGGGGGGCCTTTGGGGGCTTCTTGGGAGCCTTTTTGGCCGTCTTAGGGCGTTCCTGGCTTGCCTGACGCCGTCGGAAGCCGTCTTGGGGGCCTGCCTGGATCGTCTTGGGGCCCTCTTGGGGCACATCAGGGGTTCTTAGAGGCCATCTTGGGCGTCTTGTAGGCTTCTTGGGCCGTTTTGGGGTCCTCTTTGGGCCGTCTTGGGGGCCTTTGGGGCCGTCTTGGGGCCATCTTGGAGGCCTGCCTCTTGGGCGATCTTGGGGGCTGATTGCGCCGGAGAAGAAGCAAATGCTAAAATCTGTCAAACACCTTAGGAACATCAATGATGTTGGCCTCGTCGCGCCCTCCTGGAAGACCTCCTGGACGCCTTTTGGGCCGTCTCGAAGGCCTCTTGGGGGCCTCTTGGGCCGTCTTGGGCCATCTTGAGGCCATCTTAGGCCGTCTTGAGTGCATCTTGGCCCGTCTTGGAGGCATCTTGGGGCCATCGTAGCCGTCTTGGAGGCCATTGTGCCGAGTTGGAGGCCCCTTGGGCCGTCTTGAGGCCGTTTTGGGGGCCTCTTCGGCCATCATGGGGCCATCTTGGAGGCCTCGTGGGCGATCTTGGGGCGATCTTGGGGGCCTCTTGGGCCGTCTTGAGCCGTCGGAAGGCCGAAAAGAAGCAAATGCCAAAATCCTTCGAAAACCTGCAGAAAATCAATAATTTTGGCCTCTTCGGCTCCTTCTGGAGGACCTCTTGGAGGCCTCTTGGGCCGTCTTGGAGGCCTCTTGGGAGCCTCTTGGGCCGTCTTGAGCCATGTTGAGGCTGTCTGAGGCCGTCTTGGGTGCATCTTGGGCCGTCTTGGAGGCATCTTGAGGCCATCTTAGCCGTCTCGGAGGGCATCTTGGCTGTCTAGGAGGCACCCTGGAGGCCATCTTGGGCCGTCTTGGGGCCGTCAGGGGCAGGAAGACCGTTTGCAGCCACCTCTGGGCAAGCCTCCCGGGACCCCGGCGGGACGCGCCGGAGCCCACTGGGAGAGTTCTTCTGCAAAAGAACCAAAACCCAAACCGAGAGGGTTTAACACGCCAGGCACCCCTGTGATGAATCGACAGGGGGCGGCGGATCGAACGGCCTTCGGCCGATCCCGCCACCGTGCCGGGGTTGTGGGTCAGAGTTCTCCGGATTTGTTCTTAGGGTCTCTTCGGAGCGCCTTCGGGGGCCTTGTGGGGCCTGTTGGGATCCTCTTGGGGGCCTCTTGGGGGGCCTCTTGGGGCCTCTCGGGGCCTCTTGCGGCCTCTCGGGGGCCTCTTGGGGGCCTCTTGGGGCTTCCTTAAGGCACCTCGGGGCCGAGGGTTCGAAATGTCCGTTCGTTCTCCCCATCTGGGGCCCCTCTTGGAGCCGTTTTGGGCGCATTCTGGGTCGTCTTGGGGCCATCTTTGGGCGCCTCTGGGGCCGTCTTGGTGCGATCTTGATTGTTACCTCTTGGGGCCCTCTTGGGAGGCCTCTTGGGGTGTTTTTGGAGCTTCTCGGGCCATCTTGAGGCAATATCTCGGGGCCCTCTTCGGCCGTCTCGTAGGCATCTTGGAGCCCTCTGGGCCTATCTTGGCGCCCTCCTAGGCCCGGAAAAGTCATGTGGGGAAGCGATCCAAGGTCCAGGGGAAGCGCGCCAAGCCCCGCAAGGTTTGAGAATTTGAGGTCCGGGCTCCTAAAAGACCCTTCAGGGCGGAGGACTGAGGCTCGGAGGATCAGGCCGAGGACCTGAAGGCACGCCCGCTCCATGCCCCGGACACTGGCGAATGTACACGCCATACATGGATTGCTGATTGCTCTCTCTCTCTCTCTCCCTCTCTCTCTTGCTCGCCATACGTCTCGCTGGCTCTCCACGCGCCCTGCCCTCTCCTCCGGCACCGCGCTCTGCCTCGGGCCCCTCCTCCGTCCGCAGGTCGGGCGTGGTTCTCCCACTACGCCGGAGTGGTCGTGCGCGCGCAGCTCGGGCTGCTCCTGAGGTACGGGCTGTCGCTGGAGGCGCACGGTCAGAACACGTGCCTGGAGTTCCAGGTCCCCGCCTCGGGCGCGAGTCGGTGCGGAGGGCGAGGAGGAGGCGGCAGGGCTGGAGCGGGGGGGGTCGTCCCTCCTCGGGCACGCAGGTCTCCCGTGGGCCTCCCTCGGCCTCCCCGGCTGGGGCATCCCCCCCCCGCTGGGAGTCGCGTCTTTCGGTGAAGGGTCATGGGAGCCAGGTTGTGTCCTCGCAGCTCCACCTCCGAATGTGCATGAACCTGCGCTTGCGCCCGGTGATCGATGAGAGAGCGCAGAGTTGGCGTCGGCACCGCGTCGACGCCGCGTCGACAGAGCGTCGACACAGCGTCGACCAGCGGCGCTTGGCCTCGGTTCGCAAGAGCCACCAGTGTGGTGCGGGACGCTCCCGCGAGGTGTCACCGCGGGAGGCCCTGCGGGGGTCCTCCACCCGCCTCCGAGGCGCGCGAGGCACGCGCGCCGGCGGCCGACGCCGCGCTGCGTCTGGGGGCGCGCGGCAGGGGCGCGCGCTCCGCCCCCGGCGGAGCGAGGCGAGCCGCGGGGGGGCCCGGGGCGGATCGGCGCAGAGCTCCTGCCGGGGGGCAGGGGCGGCCCTTCCCAACTTGCGTGCTCTGGGGGTTCGCCCGCGTGCGGTCGCAAGCCTCGCCCTGTCAGAGGCCGGCAGTGGCGCCACCCGCCCCTGGGCACCTCCTGCCCACGGGGTGGCGGAAGTGGTGAAAGGGGCGCGCCGACAGGACGAGGTTCTCGCCAGGATGTTGGCCGATGAGGAGGAGGAGGAGGAGGAGGAGGAGGAGGAGGAGGAGGAGGAGGAGGAGGAGGAGGAGGAGGAGGAGGAGGCAACGCAGCAAGCGGGGCCGGACGAGGGCAAGGAGGAAGGGAGGATGTCTCCCGCAGGGGCAGCGCAGAATGTGAGGGGTAGACGAGGGCGATAATGAGGATGATCACTCCCTCCTTTTCCTCTTGCTGCTGCTCCTTTCTCATCCCCCTCGTACTCACACTATTCGCTCACCAGCTGGAGGTGCGCCAAATCCTCTCTGATTATTTTTCATGTCGCAGACAGCCTAGCCGCCTCCGCTGCGCTGTCGCTCTGCCTCGTCACGTCGACGGCAGCTTCTGAGGCGCGCCCACCCAGGAGGCATGAGTCTTGACTGGACTCGCTGCGGAACTTTTCTCCTCCAACCCCTCGTCGCGCTTCCCCCCATCTCAACCCGCGCTCCTCCTCATCGCGTTACCCTGTGGCCCAACGACGCGCAAAAACGCAACATCGCACGGAATCGCGATCGGAGCCCCAGACCCCAAGTTTCTGCTGCATGTCTCGAGCCGGATCGATCTCCGAGGGCCCTGGCGTCCGAAGCCGAGCGCAAACGCCCGCTGTGAAAACAGCAGTAGCGGAGCCTGGGTCCCAAGGCAGACCCCGCCCGTCGGCGAGCTGCGCTCAGCGCAGCGCGCCCCCTCGGCCGCCTCCCTCCTCCCCCTCCTCCTCCTCCTCCTCCTCCTCCTCCTCCTCCTCCTCCTCTTCCTCCTCCTCCTCCTCCTCTTCCTTTTCCTCCTCCTCCTCATCCTCGTCCCGCTCCTCCTCCTCCTCCTCCTCCTCCTCCTCCTCCTCCTCCTCCTCCTCCTCTCCCCCCCCAGGAGGACGGCTCACTCGGCCGCCTGATCTGCCAGGAGCTCGGGGGCGGCGCCTTCTGGGACCCGGAGAGGCGGCCCGCGGCAGGGGAGCACCACGAAGCTGGGCGCTCTCCAGACAGGCCCATTACTGTGGAGGCCCATGCCAGGAAACACGCTGCTTGCCTCCAGGGTGCCCTGGGTTTCTTGGTTTAGATGGTTTTGCGGTGGAAAGCGCGACGCTCCCACACCAAAAATCAAGGGACGCCCTGGGGTCTCAGGGTTGGGTTTCTTGTGGAAGGTGTCTTGTGGCCTGACCTCCACTGTACGTTGCATCTTTGGGGGATCTCGCCTGTCCCCAAAAATTGGTGTCTTTTCTCGTGCCCGACGCGGGCTTGATGCGGACTCGACGCGGATCTGGCGTGGATTCGACTCGGACTCGACACGGATTCGACATGGATCCAAGGAGCCCGACATGGATTCGACACGGACTCGACGCGGATGGGACTGCGCCGGGACCGCCCGGACGGACAAGGTCCCCCGAGGATGCAGCACACGGCCCTGACCTCCACCGTCTCGAGAATAACGCGACGAATGTCTCTCGCAGTTCTCGGCCTCGGGGAGCCCTCACTGGGGGTCCCGGGAGGTCGCCCAGAAACGGCTCGGGGGGAAGCGCCGGTCTCGGGGAAGGAGAGTACTCCAGATCTCCGGAGGGCCCGTCTAAGCTCGAGACATCGGATGTCAGGAGCGAGCAGGAGGAGGAGGGAGAGGAGGAGGAGGGGGGAGGAGAAGGGGGAGGATGAGGGGAGGAGGAGGGGGAGGAGGGGGGAGGAGGAGGCGGAGGAGGAGGAGGAGGAGGAGCAGGAGGAGGAGGATTTTTTGGGGTCACCTCCCCTCGCTGTATGTATGCATGCATTCATGCATGTATGTGTGTGTGTGTATGTATGTATGTATGTATGTATGTATGTATGTATGTATGTATGCATGCATGCATGCATGTATGTATGTATGTATGTATGTATGTATGTATGTGTGTGTGTATGTATGTATGTATGGATGTATGTATGTATGTATGTATGCAGATGTGTATATTTATGCAAGCAAATCAGTATGTATGATTGTGTGTATGTATGTATGTATGCATGCATGCATTGATGGATGTATGTATATGTATGTATGTAACTACGTACGTATGTAACTATGTGAATATACATGTATGTAGATATGTAAGTATGTAAGTACGTACGTGTGTATATATGTGTGCATATATGTATGTATGTATGTGTGTATGTATGCATGTATGCATGTATGTATGTATGTATGTATGTATGCGTTTCTCTGCATGCATGTATGTATGTATGTATGTACGTATGTATGTATGTATGTATGTATGTATGTGTGTATGTATGTATGTGCGTGTATGTATGTATGTATGGATGGATGCATGCATGTAAGCGTATGTAAGTATGTAAGTATGCAAGTTTGTAAGTATGTAAGCATGTAAGTACATATATGTATACATGCATGCATGCAATTATGTATGCATGTATGTGTTTGTATGCATATATGCATATATGTATGTGTGTATGTCTGTCTGTCTGTCTGTCTGTCTGTCTGTCTGTCTGTCTGGATGGATGGATGGATGGATGGATGGATGGATGGATGGATGTATGTATGTATGTATGTATGTATGTGTGTATGTGTGTTTACATGTATGTATGTATGTATGCACGTATGTATGTATGCATGCATGCATGCATGCATGCATGCACGCCGGTAAATGTATGTACATACACATTCACATACACATGCCCATACGTATATGAAACACGGCGGAAGGTTTTGTTGCCCTTTTGCTGTCTCCAGTGGCCCTCGCCAGGCCCTGGGGCCGTCAAACAAGTGGCTGGGGGCTGGGGATGCAGGCCAGTCCTCGAGTAAGAGATCGACTACAGAATTGATTTACCCCAAAAATTTGTTTTCTTGTCCAGTCTACGAAAATCAACATAATGTTCGTGAATCGACGAACATGTTGCACCTTGTTTTGGACGCGAATTGAAGTTATGGGGTACATCTGTTCTTCTAAACCTCGCAGATGGGGTCGTAGCAGATGGGGTCGGAGGACTGGGCCGCATCGCCGATGTATCGGCGATGCGGCTCGATGTGCACCCAGATTTTCCACACGCCGACTGCGCCAATGCATCGCCGACATCGCCGGTGCATCGACAATGCATCGGCGATGCATCGCCGATGCATCGGCGATGCGGCGCGATCCGCCGACCCCATCTACTCCGACCCCAGCTAGGAGGCCTCTGATTCTGTAGTCGATCTGCTACTCGAAGTCCGGGGGGAAGGGATCCCGAGCTCTGCGGGTCGACGCCGCGACGGCAGGCCACGGCGTCGGAGAGAGTCCAGGCAGGCCTCGCCGCCGGGGCGCCTCTCGCTCCCAGGCGGAACGCCGGCGGAGGGCCGGCGGACGTGGAGCGGCGGCGGGTCCGCCGACAGACGGCGGCGGGAGTCCAGCTGGGCGTCGCGTCAAGGCGGAGCGATAATTTCTAGGCCTCCCAAATGAGGTCGGAGTAAGTGGGGTCGGAGGATCGCACCGCATCCCTGGTGCATCGGCGGTGCGGCTCGATGCGGAGCCCGATTTTCTCCGCGTTGGCGTCGCCGGTGCATCGCCGACGTCGCCGATGCATCGACGATGCGTCGGGGATGTGTCTGCGATGCGGCGCGATCCTCCGGCCCCATCTACTCGGACCCCATCTGGGAGGCCTCTGGTCGCGTAGTCGGGGGGGCGAGCAGCGCAGGCGGCGGAAGAGGGGCCCTCCAGGTCCCAACAGGGGGCCTCTGGGGCCCGAGGAGTACACCCGTCTCCCCCTCCCCCCCACACACAGCACCCCCCACTAAGCGACGCCCGAGAGGCGTGAGACGCCAGCAGTGTATGGGTTTATGGTCTCCGGCATCGGTCACGTGGCGTGGCCCGCCCGGGCGGGAGTTGGACGCACATACAGTCGGGGCGCTTAAGAAGGAACCCTTCTCGTTGGGGAGGGGCTCAGTGTTCCTTGTTTGTTTCACAGTTTGCCCTAGGTTTTCCTCAGGTTTTCGATGGGAAATCGAACCTTCACTGATGGGAAAAAGGGCCTCGTTCCTTATTTAGGGTTCCTTAGGTCAACGCCCCGACTGTACACCGCACGCCTCTCCGGCGCTCGACCCCCTCGTGCGGCGAGGTGGGGTGGCCCTGTGCGCGTGTGTTCGGCGCGCGGCCGCCTGGCAGGAGCGCGGGGGTGCGTGGGAGGAGGAGGGGGGTGCAGAAGGGGAGGACTGCGAGCACGAGCAGCAGCAGAAGCAGGCGCAGGCCTGATTGGAGGGCTCTCGGGGGCGCCTCGGAAGCTTTTTTTGTTGCTGCGCCATCTCGAGAGGCCATCTTGGGCCTCTTCGGGCGAGCGTTCGGCGACTCGGGGCCCTCTTGGTCCGCATTGGGGGCTTCCTCCGTCCTGGGAGGAGCCTTAATTAGAGGGAGGACTGCGAGGAACTTCGGCGCCGGGGAGGCAGCTCACGGTCCAGTCGCCAGGGCTGCCGTTGGGCAGTAGTGGATGGGGCCGCCTCTCGGCCAGGCGTGCGTGCTCCTCGTCGGGATGTTCCGATTCGGCCCCTCATCCTGCCGTGCCGCCTCTTGATCCTCCTCCTCCTTCTCCTCCTCCTCGTCCTCCTCCTCCTCCTCCTCCTTGTCCTCCTCGTCCCGTTCCTCCTCCTCCTCCTCCTCCTCCTCCTCCTCCTCCTCGTCCCGGGCAAGGAAGCCGGTGTTATTCGTGCTCAGGCCCTCACTCGCGCTCTTCGGGATGAAACTGGGCAGTACCGCAAGTTCTCCGCGACGGCAGTGGACGGTTGTGAGACTAACATATATATCGGGGCTGACCGAAACCCACGCCAGATACGGAAGGAAGTCCAAACTAAGAAGCTCATGCAGATACTTCAGCGTCAGGCGCCGAATGGCGAATGGTGGACTAAGCGCCAAATGGGATTGGTTTACTGCGCGGATCTGCCGATCGTGGAGGTCATCCCAGGAGCAGCCCCAAATGATGCGACGAAGTTGGCATGGAACCCTGAGACCTCCAACGTGCACAATATCAACAAGGAGACCGCCACGGCCGCATTCCACAACATGTTCCGCGAGGTTGATACCGCGTCTTGGTCCTGCTCCTGATCAGCGGTGGCGTCCATGGGACCTGGAGCCTGGGGAGCAGCAGATCCAGATCGTCTCATGGAACCCCTCAGCCCTTCTCTGCCGAAACTCTACCCGACGACGGAATAAGGTCAACAACCTGGTGCGCTTGATGCGGAAGCGGGCCATCATTTGTATCCAGGAGTCACATGGTACCCATGAGGCGCTGCAGAACTACATAAACCAGTATCCGTTCGAGTACCGCGTCTTCAGCGCCATGGGCCCGCGCCCTGGGATTGGAGGCACGGCCATCCTCGTCCCCAGCTACTCTCAGCAACAGCTCGCCGAGCATCCGCCTGAAGATCACCCGGTCTTCGAGCACAGGGTGCTGGTGGAAGGGCGTGCTCAGTGTATCCAGATCGAGAGTGGCAAGTGGAACTCTGCGGTAAGGATCCTGAACGTGCACAACCACGAGCTGAGCCACGACGACAGGAGCGCGATCCGCCGCGCCTGGTTGGCGAACGCGGAGTGGGCGCACCAGAACGAGCTGGAGCGCCTCGCCGTGGCGATCGGGGACTTCAACATCTCCGACTCGCCGTCGGACAGCCTCTTGTTTCCTGAGGCCCGCCAGGCCCGCCTTTCGCGGGAGAGCCGTGCCCAGCACGGCGAAGCTTTCTGGAGAGCCCTTTTTGCAGGCCAGATGACCGAAATTTCGACCGACCACCGACCTCCCCACCCATTTCTCTCGCTCCACCTCCACGGCGACGACGATCGACCGCGCCTTCGTCTCCCTCAGCCCCCACTTCCTCCTAGAGACCGAAGCGGCCCTCGATATCCTGCAGGAGGCCCCGGCCATGGCCGAGTGGAAGCTTAGCGACCATGCCATCATTTCTCTTACTCTGAAGCCTAGGTCAGGCAGGAATCGCGCTCATCAGT